ATTTTTACAGGTTTATTTTTTTTTAAAAACCCCCGTTTTTTTTTTTTTCCCCCCCCCCCCCCCCTCTCTCTCTCACTCTCTAGAGCAGATGTGTCGAAGAACCTTAGCAAATGTAATTTAGTTTCCTCATTTATTATGGAATTCAATTTTTCATTACATCAAGAGAATGATTTGGAAAGAATTTTCAGAAATTGTGAGTTCTTTATTGACAGTGAAGAACAATTGATGTTGTTCTTGCATTTCATTGGCAATGCCCAGATGTTGCAATTCTGTAAAACTACTACCCCTTTAAGACTGCCATGCCAAATATAGCTGTCATATAATTCAGGACGACGGAGTCCAGCGTCAGAGGAACCGCCTTCGTAGGAGGCACGGGCCTGCTAATGCTGGGTGAAACGTTTAGCTGCCTAGAGAATTTCCTCATGGAACTGTAAGGGTGTGCCAGCATGAAACTTGTATGGAAAGCAAATAAGTTCTCAAATAAATGGGTACAATTGAATTAATTTTCAACTTGGAAAATGTACTTTTCCATAAAGTCGAAATTTCTGGGAAGTGGAATTGTTTAGAAAATAAAAACCAAACTTCCAATAAAGAAAGAGTAATGCTATTTAGTCTTATTGGGATTACAATTTCAAATATTTAATTTCACCTTTTATTTAGCTTATCATTTAATATCATCTAAACTGAGGTTGCAACTTCAATGGGGGTTATATAGCATTAAGCATAAAAAAAATAGTTTCCTTGTTTTTTAAAAAAACATGATCATGTGATCAAATTTTAAAAATATTTTTTGTGAAAAAAAAGTCAAATCAAATATCTCGGAGCATGAAAAATGTCAATATCAATATACACTTCTAGATAACTTACGTGATTTAAGAATTCGATAGGTATATGATCGTCAAAAAATTTTTAAAATTAGCATGATATCAAAATTTTTGAAATTTTAGTTTCAAACGATGTACTTTGACACGCTATTATACGTACTACAATTGACCGTTTTGCACGCTGTTAACGACGTGAAAAGTTAGGTCATTAGCGCTTCGAAATGATATTAAAAATTATGTCATCTTTGTTTGATATCCTGTAACTATTTCAAATTTTGACATGTTAAAAGAGTTTATTTCTTCCCTTTTTTTAAATTACGTGTAGCATACTTTTTTTTTTCTTTGACATGTCCTCTACAAAAGTTCTTTGATTGAAAACATGCAAGTATAGCATTATTGATTCGACAAGCACGTTAGGTTGTATTGGACGCGATTCAATAGTACCATAGATGATGTTTATTTTTTTCTCTAATACTGGCTTCGTCATCGTCACGAACACTCCTACTGACATTTATATTCATGTCGGGATATTAGGATAGAGTGACTATTTTTTTTAATCATATTTAAGAGCATTTTAAATACTCCTTAAATATGAGATGCTCTTTATTTTTAAGAGTCAATCCTTAAAATCATGCTCCAAAATATTAATATTTTAATTTAAATAGTGAATTTGGCTCTTCAAAATTTGAAATCGAAACTCTCTTTATAATTAAATGCATTCAAAGTATTTCAATTTTTAATGTAGAAAAATAATAAAATAATTTATAGAAAAGCTTGTTAAAATAAAAGATTGAGAAAAATAATACATATTTTTTGGGAGTACTAAAATTAAGTGTTAAATATAAAAAATTTATTGAAGTCTTTCAAAATTTTAACTCTCAACGTTCATAGACCTCCCCAGCCCCAGATGATAGAAAATAAAGAGCCTATTGAGAGTTAGCGATACTATTTGAGTGGCCAGTTCACTGGAATGATGAGAAACCGGAAGTTTGAATTATACCAAGCGAAACAACCTTCTATACAACAGCCAACGTGACTGAAACTAAAATATTCTGGGAATTTCAATTCAGAGTTCAATCCACAAATTGCAAAACAACGTAATCGAAGCTAGAAGAATTTGGGAATCCCAATTCAGAATTGAATCAACGAAGACAACGTGATCGAAAGCAAGAAGCATTGGGGATTTCAATTAAAAATTGAATTGACGAAATTTCAAGAGGAAGAATCGCCACAGAACACTGGCAAAACTTCTCTGGCTCAAATGAATTGCTCAAGTTTCGTTTCTGATTATTGAAAAATGAAAGAAAAACCACAAAATAGCATCGTTTGGATGAGGACGAAAAATGAACTGCGGAGTGAAACAACACTCCTACGGCTTGTTTGGGAGTTTCGAGATACCAGTTACGAGTGTTTTTAAAGTATTGACCACCAATACACAACCTCTATGAGGGGGCTTCTTGCTCAAAATATTGTTGATTCTCAGGAGGTTTACTGAATACAGATTATCGCAAGAATCACTTAAAAATTGAAATTGCAGGAAAATAGAAAAATGAACACGAAGGATTTTTTCACCACAAAGGCCCGAATGTTCAATCTTATAGTCTACTCACACGTTGAGCATCTATTAAGTAGATATAGCTCTAGATCCACTAGAAAAAGAACCAAGAACGTTACAAATGTACGAAGAAACACAAAGTTTCTTCACTGATTTTGATCTCGCCTCACACACAACTATCACAACGCCACCACTAACTCGCACTAAACAATATCACAATTATATATCAAGTGTAGTATCAAAAATCACTCATATTTATAGAAATCATTTTCACTCAGGAAATATCGGTGGTTTGAGAGAAAAAGAGAAACCCTAGAATCCACTCAGAATCGATCTCTCTCGAAGGAAGAATGAGGCGTCCAATTAATCAGGTAAGTCAAAGAGTCATTGATCAACGGTGAGGAGATGGCTAGATTACATCTTTAAAAAGAGGCAGAAGTCGCATTTCAAGAGAACACGTTTCTCTTAGCAATTGGATCAAGACCATTTCAGTAAACCTGACCCAATAGCCTTAAAGGGCCAAGAATGTGAGGAACTATTATTTGGGCTCAACAATCTCCATCTTGCTGAACACGTTTTGGCAATTTCTAGTGGCTAGATCACTACTTGTTTCATTTGCTCTTATTATCCTATAAAATAAAAACAAAAATTAGTTCAAAAAACAAAAATTAGTTAGAAACTTCTAAACATGGTACCCTTCAAACAATGTTTAGAATATTCGAACAATTTTTAAACTTGTTCAAGGGTAGGACCTTAGTTCCCAAATCAGAAGGATTATATTCAGTTGAAATTTTTTCTAACTTAATTAGACCTTGTTTTTACCATGTTTCTAACAAAATGGAGTTTCACATCAACATGTTTTTTGTGATCATGATACATTGGATTTTTACTAAGATGGATGGCACTTTGATTATCAGTATAAATTTTGACAGAGCTATTTATAAAACCAATTTCATTCAGAAGACCTCCCGACCAAAGACTTTCTTTAACAGCATCATAGGCAGCTATATATTCTGCATCTGTTGATGATAAAGCCACTAGCTTTTGCAATTGTGATTTCCAACTAATGCAACTATCACACAAAGTGAAAACATAAGATGAAGTTGATCTTCTTTTATCTTAATCACCAGCAAATTCTGAATCAGTATAGCCTTTAAGAATTATGCCATAATCACACCTTTTAAACAATAGCCCAAATTAGATGTTCCTTTTAGATATTTCAACATACATTTCATAGCAAGCCAAAGTAGTTCACCTGGATTTGACATAAATCGACTTGATATGCTTATTCCATGAGCTAAATCTGGTCTAGTACATACCATGAGATACATAACAGATCCTACAGTGTTAGCATAAGGAATTCTTTCCATTCTTTTAAATTCTTCATTAGTCTTTGGTGATTGTTCAGTAGACAATTAAAATGATTGGAAAGTGGTAAGGAAACAGGTTTACAGTCAAGCATGAAGAACCTTTCAAGTATCTTATGCACATAAGCAGATTGCTTTAGGATTAGTGTGCAATCATTTCTATTTCTTTCTATTTCCATCCCAATAATTCTCTTAGCTTGCCCTAAGTCTTTCATTTCAAATTCAGATTTTAACTTTGCTTTAATAACATCAATTTCAGATCTGTTAAGGCATGCAAGTAACATATCATCTACATATAAAAGTAGATAAACAGATTCAGGTTTATCTGACCCTTTGAAAAAGAAACAAGAATCATAACTGCTTTTAATGAAACCCAAAGTCTGAACATAAGAGTTAAACTTTTTATACCATTGTATGGGGGTCTGTTTTAGGCCATAGAGGGATTTCTTTAACAAACATACTTTTTCCACAGTTGACTTTACCTCATAACCTTTTGGTTGACTCATATAAATAGTCTCCTCAAGGTCTCCAGTTAAAAAGGCTGTTTTTACATCCAACTGATCAAGCTCCCAGTTAAAATGTGCAGTTAAGGCAAGAATAATTCTTATAGAAGTGTATTTAGCAACAGGGGAGAAAATTTCATTATAGTCTATTCCTTCCTTTT